CAACCTTCAGGGTTAAAGGGTGAATCAGCAGTTCTACATTAACTCCAGAGTTTAAGACCATTTATTGTTAAACTGTGTTGAACGATCAGCAGAGCTTTATTTTACTGTAAAGGCGGATTATTTTATTTTATCTACAAACCTGATTCAGCTGTGGAGCCACAACAGGGCAGTGAAAGAGCCGCATGTTGCCAACCGCTGACTTAGATAATCAACAAAACATCATTTGACTAGAGGTGTGCAAACTTTTGCATATGATTGTATGTGATTAAAGTTATGTAATGAATTATGTTTACATGCCATTTACATTCTGTACATTCTGATGTTTTAATCTATGTTTCAGGGTCAAGACTTGACAAAAGTCCAGCAAAAATGTAAAGGATGTCTTTTTTTCTGCACAACAAGCCATACAGTGCATCAATAACCTTTCATCAAATTCAAATCCTGATTAAATATCTCCTCTTCATCTTACAAACACAGATGTGGTGGGGATTAAAGGTTAGAATCTGCACTTTCCACACAATTAATCCCTTTGTTTCAATGAACCACGAATCAGAAATAATTCAAATAAAATTACAGCATGATTGTGTTGTTACTGCTGACGTCTAAGGGTTAAAATGAAGATCTACAGTACAGCTGTAAACGTTCACTGTGAGTGTGAGCTCAGAACTGGGGCTGCAAAATATGGATAGAATATCATATTCTGGTTATAATGCTCCACATTATGGTTGCAATATAGCTTGTCATAAATAAAACACTGTAAAACCTCGCTGGGTATGATGATATATTAGCATTAGTTCGACTGAAATGATTTACGTTTGTTGCATCATGTTATTTGAAAAGGACAGGGTGATTCATTAGAGGCTCATTTGCATACTGAATGCCTGGGTGATGCTATTATAGAAGTCCAATACATTGATAATGGTTAATAAACGATATATCAATACAGTTTCTGCTGTTAAGGCACATCTGACCCCTCACAACTGATGGCTGCCCACACCCTCATTACTGAATCACACTCAGACGGACTGGACAGTCGCTCCACAGTGAGAAGTGAGAGACTGTAGGAGGAAACAGTGGGACGAATGGTCTGTTAAACCTCACAGAAAACTCAGTAGAAATCTGATAGGAAGCTGAACTGCAAATCACTTCCCACCCACACAATACAGCACCACACCAGCTGTGATTCTCCCCTCATTACACAAACACAGATTATTTCCACACACAAACAGCACATACTTCATATTTTAATACTACTTATTATTATTATGCAATACCAAAAGTTACTGGCTAGTTAAGCCCACAGAACACTTTACATCTTTATATATAGCACTTTATAAATTAGTAATAAGTGAGTAATAATATGGTAATATTATGTTTTTTTAAGTTAGTACAACTTGTTACCAATTTTTTTTTTACCATTTTATGACAAAAACATCACCACTACAATCACTAACAACTTAAAAGTTAGCAAGTAACTTATAGGTGAGTACAACCTGTTACCATAATATTACCATGTAATTACCAACTTATTACTGATCTATAAAGTAAGGTGCTATCCAAAACCCTCTACAAGTGAAATTTCAATTAAATTATGCAGTTAATTACAATGCATGCGCAAAAGTTTGGGTGCCCCAGTTAAATAATGTGTTTTGTCGATTTTGTTGATTTTCTAACACACACTTCTGCAAACTTTTATACACAGTTACTCTGAATGTACTGAATTTGAGTGTACTGGCAAATGAGTAAAATATAAAATGTGATCTGTGCAAAAATTATGGCATATTTTCTTTTTTATACTAGATATGCTTTTCAGTGTGTTGAGCTCAGCAATAAATAAATTGTGCATTAAAATTTGCCCAAAATGTCATATTTAAGTGTGTTCTCTGTAGAGGACGGGTTCACTTATTTTCACTTAGAAACTAAACAAAACATGTCATTTGACTGGGGGTGCCCAAATGTTTGCACAGGACTGTACGGCATATCATGCATATCAGGGAGTATATGAGAACTTGCGGCTATAAATATCTGCATTTATGACTATCCGACATGTATAACTGAAGTTTTTCCACTCTGCGTGTTCATGAATCTGACCAGTCATCACCATCTTTTCAAACAATGTCACCATCTATTATTTATACATCCATAAATAGTGCATATTGCACTGCCACTTGTTTATGCACCTGTCGCACAACTATATTGTTTACCGTGTTTAGTCACTCTGTTGATTCACTGGATGTGACATGCACCACTGCACTGCCACCTGCATAATATTTATGCAATTTTACTTACTTATTTTTGTACTGAACAGTATATTTTATGGTTGTTTTACCATAAAATGCATCTGTATAATAGCGCATGGCAATACTTTGGCTCTTGTTTTGCTCTGTACTGAACTTTGTGCTGCTGTAGTGGATGACTTTCTGTCTATCTATCTATCTATCTATCTACTATCTATCTATCTATCTGTCTGTCTGTCTGTCTGTCTGTCTATCTATCTATCAAGCACAGACTCTAGCAGAAAGTTCTTCTAGAACCTTCTCCTCCACTATCACTACCATCTAACACACTGGATCCAGCTAAGCAAATATGCCTAAAGAGGATAATACTCTGGGTCAGACAATGCATTAAAAGGGGAATTCTCTTGCCTTCCAAAAGTTCTGTATAATTAAATGGTTGAGATGTAAACAGAGTCATTCAGAGTGGTTTCGTGTGAAACGCTCTGTTCTAGAGAAACTTACCAAGTCAGAACTGTTCACAGTGGTGGTGATAGGAACCAGACGTCCACCTCTAAAAGCTCCCTCACAGAAAGTTACTACATGAAATGGTTATGAATTCACTGCATGAAGCCAGTTCAGGATGGAAGGATACATGCAGAGCACTGTAAGGTAAAACAGTCCCCAAAGAAAACTTACCACTATTTTCCCATCGTCAACATTCCTAATAAAAGCTCAGAAGACTCGTGTAGGTTCACTGGTGGTTTTGCATAGTAAATAAAATGTCTGTATTTGTGTTGTAGCCATGGCAACCCCTGGTTTCTCTCACCACCACTGTAAAGACATCTGAGTCTCTACAATCAACCATTTCACACCAGACCACCCTGAATGACTCTGTTTACATCTTAAGCAGAAATTTTGACAAACTGGCAGAAAGTTATAGGTGAACTCTGGTGGAATTCTAGGTGCAGGTTTGGAGACCACTTATCTATAAGAACATCCCTCTTGATCTGCATCTGTACATATGACTCACTATGACATTTTAGTGAAAGGTTATGACATTTTTGTCCATAACGCAAATCTCAGAACCTCCCTGTAAATGTCAGCATGCCTATGAGCACAGTGGTAATCAACCCTTGTCCTGGAGGTCCTGCAGGCTTTGCCTCCAACCCAAAACCCAGATCATTTACGCTTACGGCATTTGGCAGGCGCTCTTAGCGCGCTGCTGTTCCAGAGCCAGGCGAAAGCAGAAAAATGACCATTACTGATATACTCTGGCACGCGTGCCCAGCCGAGGAACTGAACGCCAGTCTCCTGCATGGAGAGCAGTTATATTACCCACTAAGTGAAAAGATGAGCTCTACAAGATGGTAAACTCTTAAAAAAGATGGTGCCTCAAGGGTTCTTTAGTTAAGAAAATGGTTCCACATAGAACCATGAGCACTCGACAAACCCTTTCAGGTGCTATATAGAACGCTTTTCAAAAATATTCTATATAGAACCATCTATACCACCTTTATGCACATTGCCCATCAATCTGAAGAACCCCTTTATCATACAAAGACCTCTTTAATCATCTAAAGGGTTTGTCGAGTCATATATTTGTCATATATTTTCAACATTTTTGGAGATTTTTGGGTGCTATACAGAACCATTTTCAAAAAGGTTCTCTATAGAACTGTCTATAGCACATTCTGCATGAGTCATGAGGGTTCTTGGTTCTATATAGAACCATTTTCTTTACTAAAGAACCCTTGAAGCACCATATTTTAAAGATGTTCGAGGCCACTAAACTATGGAAATATATGCATATAAATTGTTACTGTCATATCTCCAAACCTTGTATCTTCATTTTTATTGTTTTTCAATTTTCAACATAATTTGAAATCTCCAGCTGCTCTTTACAGAGTGTCAAACTTCATGAGGGATGGACCAAAAGAAATGGCCTGAAATTATGTAATAAGTAATGGTCACGCTTTATTTGGATGGTCCCTTTAGATGATCTACAGATACTTACATTATAATCAGTTAATTATCAACAACATTATGGTTGGGGTTAGGTTTAGGAGTAAGAGTAGGTTGTCGAAGTTAAGGGTAGGTTCAGGTTTAGGGTGAGAGTTAGATTAATAGAATCTTTAACTTCAAGAAACTTCAAGTTCAGTAGCATTTAATAGATATTTAGTTGAATGCTACTTAAGGAGAGACTGAGTATCTACAAAGAATCTACAGTGGACCATCAAAATAAAGTGTTACCTAAATAATTTCCTTACTACCTTCTATTAAAAGTTAAAAAAAAAAATTTCTTCTCCTGTAAAGACGCCCTTTTCAGAGATACAAGGTTTTGTTTCAACACTGACAATATACAGAGTTGTGTGTAAAAGTTTGAGCGGTCAAATCACAAAGTGATTTACGCTGATTGGGTCGATTAGGTTGATTTCTTAAGTGAAAATAAGTTCACACGTCCTCTTTCAGCTCACAATTTCTTTTGTATTTGCTGAATTTAACGTATTGAAAAAATATAACTTTTGCACAAAGGCCACATTTTATGTTTTGTTTTTTTATTTTCCCCAAATACAGCAAGTAATTGTGCATTTCAGTGTGCAGAAGTGTGTTCTCTGTAGAGGACGTCTTCACTTCTTTTCGCTTAGAAAATCAACAAAACCTGGATTTTCACCACGGGCGCCCAAACTTTTGCACACAACCAAACATCTGTGCATCTACACCAACGGTTCCCCAACATCTGCAGCTGTGGGCAGCTTTTCCTCAACGTGTGTCCATGCATCTTACCATGAGTGGCAGGGAGCATATGACAAATATGACCGTCATGATGACCAGCAGGATGAGGTGCTCCACCTCCTCAGCCAAGGAGAAGTGCCTCCTGTCCTTTTTCCCTCGGACCACCGTGCTGCCCCGCTTCCCCGCCCGCCGGCGGTACATCAGCACCAGCTGGTACACCACGAGGCAGTTGCAAGCCACCACCAGGATCATCATGGCCAGCAAGAGTGTGGCATAAATTATGGCGAACACTTTGTCCTCGCGGGCCTGTGGGTTCATGTCGATGAAGCACCACGTTCCTGGACAGTACTGCACGTAGTCGCCGAAACCCGCGAAGGCAGGGCACAGAAGGCCACGGAGAGGGCGTAGATGGTGGGCACAGCTGCCAAGCCGTAGCGGGCGCTCGCCCGGCGCCCGTATTCATAGGGCCAAGCGATGGCAATGCAGCGCTCTAGTGCCATGGCTAGCAGGAGCGCTAGCGTGCTGAGGCTGAACAGGGTCATGGTGAACCCGAAGTACTCGCAAACGGGACCCCTGCTATTCGTGTCCGTGGCCCCCATGCCCACCAGCGAGGTGTTTAGGTAGTGTGCCACCTGCACTAGCGGGCTAATCATGCACGTGCCAGCCAGGTCCGTCACCACGAGCGCCGTCACGAGGACGCGAAACAAGGTACAGCGGCGGTGTCGCCGCCGGAACTCCAGCAGGACTAACGCTAGCACGTTGCCCAGCACACCGGTGGCGAACATCAGGGCGCTGATCTCCGGGCTCCCGCCGTCCGGCTTCACCGTCTGCGTCCAGTGGCAGCTGTTGTTTTGTGTCATTTCTCAAACTTTATGAACTTTTTCTCCTCACAAAGCCCGCGCTTTTTTCCCGCCTTAAGAGTGATGGCCGGAAGTCGCTATTACAAGACAGAGCTGACGTGTATAACGTGCGTTATAACGCCCTGAAGGACAGAAGAACGTCCCGTGCGAGAAAGACACCGAGTATAAAAGCCCTCAGTGCGCTGAAAAGGCGGTACTTCCAAGAAAAGGTCCGTGTCGGTTTATCCATGGCTTTGATGAAGCTCTCTCTCTCTCTCTCTCTCTCTCTCTCTCTCTTTCTCTTTCTCTCGGTCTGTTCTCTCTCTCTCTCTGTTTCATGACTTTTGAGCTCGTGCTGGAGGAGCTGCTGTATGTACACACCCCTTCTTACCTCATCCAGCCTGAATCAGCACGAGGAAAAGAAACAGCACAGCCCACTTTTTACTGCCTTGACTTGATCACTTCTTTTTATCTGAACGGTTGTTTCGTTTTGTTGTTTTGTACAAGAAAGATGACGATCTTAGACTTGTTAGCGTCGCAGAAACGCGCTCTGAACCCTGAACGACCCCTTAAAGACCCCCTAACGGCTTCCCAACCCCCCGAACACCCCCACCCCACCTTCAAAAAGACACATGGTGAAGTTTAGTGACAGTGAAGTCGAACAAAACGAACAGATTCATTAAAAATAAGCGCTGGAAATAAACGACTTCACTGTCTCCACCACATGCTGACGAGCTGCTCAGCCACCACATATAGAGTCATCTGAGGTTTAAAGCGATCCAATCACGAGAAACGCTTCGTTTAAAAGAACCCCTCCCCGCCACCGCACGAGGACCTCATAGTGGTTTTTTTGTTGTTGTTGTTATTGTTGTTGTTGTTGTTGTTGTTGTTTAAAACAGGTTCCTCTCACACTCCCCAAAATGATAACTCTTCAATGGTTCTTTAGTAAAGTGAACGGTCCTTAATAGAACAGTATGCATGCTTAAAGGGTTCTTCGCATGCATGTGGTTCTATATAGCACCGAATAGGGTTCTGTTGGTACAAGCTTGACATCGTAACAATGGCAGAGCCATTTCTGGTGCTATGTAGAACCACGTACAGCACATTTTCCATCAATCTGAAGAACCATTCCACAATTCAAAGAACCATTTAAGCATGTGAAGGGTTCTTTAAGTGTCCATGGTTTTGTGTAGAATCATTGTCTTTACTAAAGAACCCTTGAAGAACCATCTTTTTTAAGAGCTGCTGTGCCTTTAAGACTGATATATTCTCACTGTCTGAACAAAACCTTGTTTCCATTTTTAGTGTTCTTATTTATTTATTTCATTTTGTTTAATTAGAATTTGCCAGCTGCTCTTTCTTTAGCTGTTGCTATAATTATCTGGATTGTTATCCTGAGATAATGAGATAATTATCTTGTGATTTCAAGACAACAACTTTGTTATCTTGAGCTCACAGGACAATTAACTCATTATCTCAAAACAACAACTTTTTTATCTTGAGATCACAAGATAATGAACTCATTATCTCAGGACGACAACCTTTTTTCTTGAGATCACAAGATAATGAACTCATTATCTCATTTTCTTTATAAAGAAAATGGTTCTATATAGAACCATGAACTCTCAAAGAACCCTTTGCATGGTTAAAGTGTTCCTTGCATGGTAAAATGGTTCTTCAGATTGATGCAGAATGTGCTGTAGATGGTCCCATAGGCTGTAGAACCTTTTTGGAAAGGGTTCTATATAGAACCAAAAAGCGTTCTTCTATTGTTATGATGTCAGGCTTGCTCCAATATAAGAACCCTTTTTGGTGCTATACAGAACCCTTTTCAAAAAGGTTCTATATGGAACCATCTACAACACATTCTCCATCAATCTGAAGAAGGATTTAATGATGTAAACAATGCTTTAATCGTACTAAGAGTTCTTTGAGTGTTCATGGTTCTACATAGTGCCATTTTCTTTACTAAAGAACCCTTAAAGAACTACATTTTTAAGTGTGTAAGGTTACGTGTTGATGTGTGACCATTCCACACATATGCAGGTCAAAGAACTGAACCGTGGCTTGGTCCTAGATTTTTTGTTGACACTGTTGAAATAAAGGTTCTGTTCAGGTACATTTTTCGTTCATCAAGGTACAAACAGTGTAAATGTTCCCTCAAAGCTACAACAGTGGTTTTAAGGTCTGATTGTGAACCTTAAATACGTTTTTCCAGGTGAAAAGTTCGTATTTGTACCTTTTCATAACCGAATGTTTTAAACAGAACAGTAAAATAAAAGCCTGGAGACGAGACGGGGTGTGTGGAGTCAGTACAGCTTAGAACATATCATTTCAGTGGATTATGGTTCAGTTATGTTCCCTGACTAAAGGTACTGAGATGGACCCTTGAGGGTTCCACCCCAGTGACAGTTTAGTACCTTTATTTCTGAGAGTGAAAGTCCTTACCAGAGTTTGATTTTTTATGACGTTGTTTTTCCCGTTTGGTTAGACTGGTTTCATACTGTCATGGCTGAAGTGCGACAAAGTACACACAGGAACTTGATGCTGACACGAGACATCCTGTTACTATGACCTTTACCCTATTAGTGCCTAAACAACCTTATGGTTTAAACTTTCACCATCATGGTGTAAAATCCAGACATGGATCAAATGTGTTCATGGTAAAATGAATAATCGTATCTGCTGCATTAAAGCAGGCCTGGTTCAGTTCACTGCTGGTGTTAATGCATCATTTTATGTTGGGTTCGAATCAGTTGAGATAATTCAACACCAGAGTTCACATCAGAGCTGTACTGTCTGTATTATCTGTCTAACATTTAATAAAAGCTGAGATTGTTCTTCCAACATACACCGATCAGGCATAACATTATGACCACCTCCTTGTTTCTCCGCTCATTGTCCATTTGATCAGCTCCACTTACTATATAGGTGCACTTTGTAGTTCTACAGTTACAGACTGTAGTCCATCTGTTTCTCTGCATACTGTTCTACAGTGGTCAGGACCCCCATGGACCCTCACAGAGCAGGTACTATTTGGGTGGTGGATCATTCTCAGCACTGCAGTGACACTGACGTGGTGGTGGTGTGTTAATGTGTGTTGCGCTGGTCTGAGTGGATCAGTGCTGCTGGAGTTTTTAAACACTGTGTCCATTCACTGTCCACTCTATTAGACACTCCTAGACAATAGCTCATCTGCTGCTGCACAGTTTGTGTTGGTCATCCTCTAGTCCTTCATCAGTGGTCACAGGACGCTGCCCACAGGACGCTGTTGGCTGGATATTTTTGGTTGGTGGACTATTCTCAGTCCAGCAGCGACACTGAGGTGTTTAGGAAGTGGAGCTGATAAAATGGACGATGAGCGTAGAAACAAGGAGGTGGTCATAATGTTATTCCTGATCGGTGTAGTAATAAAATGACATGAAAGGAAGTTTTGAGCTGATGGTTTTTTGTACTTCTACTCTCAAATCATGTTTTTTTGGATACTTAGACTTTTACTGCACTCATTACTTCACCAAAGTAGCAGTTCTATGTGCTCCATGAACTCTTAAAGAACCCTTTGCATGATTAAAGGGTTCTTTGCATCGTCAAAGAGTTCTTCAGATTGATGGCAAATGTGTTGTACATGGTTCTATATAGAACCTTTTTGAAAAATGTTCTGTATAGCACCAAAAAATTTCTTCTATTGTTATGATGTCAAGCTTGCAACAATAGAAGAACCCTTTAACAAGAAAAACTGTTTTATTGAAGATTTAAAGTCCATTAGATGTAGCAGTGTTTTCTGTTAATAATCATTAGAAGAGGAAGAAGACGAGAAAGAAGAAAAAGAAGAAGAAGAAGAGAAAGAAGAGAAAGACAAAGAAGAAGAAGATGAAGAAGAGAAAGATGAAGAGAAAGAAAGGAAGGAGAAGGGGAAGAAGAAGAGAAAGAAGATGAAGACAAAGAAGAAGAAGATGAAGAAGAGAAAGAAGTTAGAAAGAAGACAAAGAAGAAGAAGAAGTAGAGGAAGAAGAAGAGAAAGATGAAGAGAAAGATGAAGAGAAAGAAGAAGAGAAAGAAGAAGAGAAAGATGAAAAGAAAGAAGAAGAGAAAGAAGAAAAGAAAGAAGAAGAGAAAGATGAAGAGAAAGAAGAAGAGAAAGAAGAAGAGAAAGATGAAGAGAAAGAAGAGAAAGAAGAAGAGAAACAAGAAGAGAAAGACGAAGAGAAAGAAGAAGAGAAAGAAGAGAAAGACAAAGAGAAAGAAGAAGAGAAAGACGAAGAGAAAGAAGAAGAGAAAGAGGAAATGAAAGAAGAAGAGAAAGATGAAGAGAAAGAAGCAGAGAAAGAAGAAGAGAAAGAAAGACGAAGAGAAAGAAGAAGAGAAACAAGAAGAGAAAGAAAGACGAAGAGAAAGAAGAAGAGAAAGAAGAAGAGAAAGACGAAGAGAAAGAAGAAGAGAAAGACGAAGAGAAAGACGAAGAGAAAGAAGAGAAAGACGAAGAGAAAGAAGAAGAGAAAGAAGAAGAACGCGTTGTATTCAAGCTTAAGTTGGCTTACAAATCAATAATGCGATGTGGGAGGAAAGTGAGGGGTAAACAGGCTGTTAACACTGAACAGCGGCGATTTGTGTTATTTGGATTCCCTTTTTTTTCAAAGAATTTGATGCTAAAAATAAATAAACAGTAAATAAACAAAACAAAACATATTTATAATTCTCTAGTGGATCATTCCGGTATGCATTTCCTCTTTTCTGCTCTGCCTCACACACGTCCTCCGCAGCACGAGCCCCTGCGCTGACATCAACATCATCTCTGCAACTGTGAAAAACTCTGCATGCCTCCTGTTTGTGGTGGAAGCTGCTAATGCACAAACCTGACCACAGTATTCTCATAAACCACTGAGCTTCACTGGAAACACTGTTTGTTTGTGCTGCTTTGATCTGTTACACGCTCTTTGATGATATTTCTCTGTCATTAACAACAATGAGATTATAATCCCAAGCAAATCTGAAGCAGCAAGTGAAGGTAATAACGAAAGAAACTGGTCAAAAAAATGGAAGCCAGAAGTTGCGAAATGGCTAAACAGGATTTTAAAGGCCCGTGTGCTCCTTTTATGTGGGATGAGAATTGTGTGGTTTTTCTGTACCGAAAGTCACCAAAATTATTTTTTTTTAAACCTCTCCTTTTCTCTTAACATCAAAACAGGCTGTTTTCATTACTGTCTTTAAGAGTGATATATGTAAATGAGCTCTGCTCTGATTGGATGTCCTGTACTATGACTTATTTAAAAAAGCATGAAAGGCTAAAACTCTCCTTTTAACTTCAATGTAAACAGGCAGGGCTGAACTGCTGTGTGCCGAACAGGCGTTTAGATGTAAATGAGTTGGTTTTTTGTGACATCACGAAAACAATTAATAACAATAGGCTGTTTCTGCAGGTCATTTTCTGTATATGGACCCTTTGGACTGTTTATATACCACATCAAACCATTTTATTACAAAAAAAACAAGCAATGAAAATTCGATTTACCATAATATGGGCTCTATAAAATTCTTCAGTGCTAAATTAGATTAATTGTCTGGAATTTCCCTTTGGATATTTCCAT